TGATTATCGACCGCATCTACCTCAGAAAATAGGATGCAGCGCATACACCCCTCGGCGGTGTAAGTACACTTGTCACACATATGTACCACACCTCCCAGAGGGAATAACAGTACGGCTAAGTTTAGGATGGTTTACGTGCACACCCTTTCAACCAACTGACGGCGATTGTGAATTGGGCTGTGCGGATTTACTCCCTTTGGGAGAGAAGAAGTGCGACGACATGGAACGGCGTGTGTGTGACAGCACCCGATACACCTTTATTTTACAACACTTTTCTAAAGGTGTTTGTGCACCTGAAGGTCTTCTATCACGATAATAGAAAACGCGAGGCTACCGAATCCCCGGTGGCTCGCTTTATGCATAATAACCACGCAGAAAAGACTACTCAAGAAATATCCTCCAGCTGTTATAGCAACAATTGCTTTCTCTCTCTCTCTCTCTCTCTTAGGCATCGACCTGCATAGCCTCCTCTATACGGAGAAAGCCTGGCACATCGACGACGGAGTCATAGAGCGCGCGGCCGCAGGAAAAAGGAGAGGAGGAGCGCGCCGAACGGTGACCAATATGGTAGCGCAGAGCAGAAAGGGTAGACCTAGACAGCGAGCGCTTGGGTCATGAGCGGCCGCTCCCCGAACCACGCTTGTTTTTGTGTTTTCGTCACCGTCGTTTTCGTACTCCGGGAGAAACGGGCGCGGCGATTCGAAAGGGCGCAGGGAGAAACGGGAAAGGGTGGACGTTGAGCTTCTCCTCTCCACGAAAGCGACAAGAAAAGAGAGAGAAAAAAAAAAGATTGTTTCTGCGTTTGGCCGCTCGCTCTTTTGTGGCGCTAGCGGACAAGGTTCTCTCCGCTCCCGTTTCTCCGCCCCTCCTTTCCCATTTACGGCGGCCGTCTTTTCACGCGACGCGCCAGGCTTTCTCCGTATAGAGGAGGCTATGCTCTAACGGACCGATCTCACCAAGCGTTCGGCGCATCCGTGACGCCGCCGTATATTTAGTTCACATAAGGCAGACGGCCGTGGATGCGAGGGATCGTGCCGTATTGTACCCCAAAAGCGCAGAGCTCCAGCGAGGTTGTCGCGCGTGCAGAAAAACTGAAGTTCCCTCGATGCACTGCCGCAGCGGTGGCTTATTCAAATCAGCTGTCGAGATCGGTGTTTTAGAACCGTACGTTTATTCTCAATAATTAAAAAAAAAGTTAATCGAGAGATATTAGCTAATTATCTGACCTATCGTGAGGGTCCCCCCCCCCCCCCCCCCCCCACACACACACACACTCACTTTTTAGGCTCTCATGGCCGTATAACTAGCCAGTGCAGACCACATTATTCTACTCTTCAGGATGTCTTTTTCAACAAATCTGTTCGAAATCAAATTAAACACCTTGTATAATAAATATGCCACATATTATATCCATGCTTTTTGCTTCTTGATCCCTTCTTCGGCTTCCTTATCGGTTAGTTGATGTACATGGCACGCGATTAACGTCCTTGTACCGTGCTGGTTATCCATGCCTACTAACTACCGTCTTACGGACTCTTGCATGATAAAAAAAAAAAAAAAATCGAGGGTGCGAATTTTGCTCTGACAGACAGACGGACAGGTAGACAGACAGAAGGGCATGTGAAAAGGGGGAAAATAAGAGACAGACGGACTGGCAGACAGACAGACAGACAGACACTGCGTTTTATCCGTCGATTTGCTCGACTTGTCAAAATGTTCTTGGAGCTGTCTCTTTCTTTTCGCTGAAAGCGATGTTTTAGTGATGATTTCAGTAGAAAGTTGACAGGTCGCATAGCCTCCTCTATACGGAGAAAGCCTGGCGCGTCGCGTGAAAAGACGGCCGCCGTAAATGGGAAAGGAGGGGCGGAGAAACGGGAGCGGAGAGAACCTTGTACGCTAGCGCCACAAAAGAGCGAGCGGCCAAACGCAGAAACAATCTTTTTTTTTTTCTCTCTCTTTTCTTGTCGCTTTCGTGGAGAGGAGAAGCTCAACGTCCACCCTTTCCCGTTTCTCCCTGCGCCCTTTCGAATCGCCGCGCCCGTTTCTCCCGGAGTACGAAAACGACGGTGACGAAAACACAAAAACAAGCGTGGTTCGGGGAGCGGCCGCTCATGACCCAAGCGCTCGCTGTCTAGGTCTACCCTTTTTGCTCTGCGCTACCATATTGGTCACCGTTCGGCGCGCTGCTTCTCTCCTTTTTCCTGCGGCCGCGCGCTCTATGGCTCCGTCGTCGATGTGCCAGGCTTTCTCCGTATAGAGGAGGCTATGGTTGGAGACAACGTTACTTGAACCCTTCAGTTGGGAAACTGCCATAGAGGCTGCTCTGGAAAAGGGGCGCCGATCCTTATCCTAGTACCGAGCTAATGGCGATCGCAACGCTGCCATGTCTGCCGCAGCGGGCCACTCCGTGAACTGCACGGCTGCACTCACTGGTTCCGTCGAGTCATGGTAGGGCCGGTGGCGCCATCTCGCACGGCCATCTTGGAGTAGCTATATGAAGCATTTTTCATGTTTCAACTCGTCGCTAAAGGGTGGCGCTGTTATCGTATTTTGCTCTGTCTCGGTAGACGACAGCGGCCCAAGTTTTAAGGGCGAGTTTCCCAACTGAGTGGTTTAGTAATGTTGGCTGGAAACTTGCCGAGCGTCATCGAAAACCACTAGATCGGTTGATTTTAAAACGACTCGAAGCACTTGAGACCATACCTCAGCGAATTCATCCATGAACTCGCTCATTCACCTTCATTCACATTCACGGCGTGAATCTGAATGGCTCTGAATAAATTCTTGTGAATGTGAATGAATTCGTGATGTGATGGTGAATGGCTTGGTTAATTTGAATGAATTCGTAATGTGATGGTGAATGAAGTCGTGAAGTCGTAATGTGATGGTGAATGACTTCAGGAATTTTAATGAATTCGTGATGTGATGGTGTGTGAAGTCGCGATGTGATGGTGAATGAATTTGTGATGTGATGGTGAATGAAGTCGTGATGTGATGGTGAATGAAGTCGTGAATTTAAATGAACTCATGGTGTGTTGAGATTGTGAATGACCTCGTGAATTGAATAGAATTCATTGGGATGTGAATGACTTAATGAATTCGTGATGTGATGATGAATGGCTCGTGAACAAGATGAATATGTGATGTGAGTGGCTCGTGAACTTGATAAGTTTGTGATGGGAAGTAATACCTGAATTTAATTCTCGACGTGATAGTGAATACGGTTATGAATTCAGAAGAGGCGGAAAACATGTTACGCAGGAGCTTGCTTGCTTGCAGGTTGTTTTCATCCTTCACCGCAAACGACAGGGACCCATTTGACTTTAACGGTTTGGGCATCAGTCTCGCTGCGTAGCCATGCGCGCCTCAGCGCGGTGGCCCTTTGTCGAGCACTTTCGCAGCAACTGCTGTTTATAAGGGAAATGCGTTACAAGTAACGTCGTTACTTGTAACGCGTTAGTTCCAACACTGCTCTCATATACGACTCCGAGAGCGCTGCGAGCCGGTGCCAAGGCGGCGGGCACTAGTAGCAGCAGGCGCCACTTCGTCTATGCGGCGCACCCATATATCGTTTCAAAAGGGACGAAGCCGAAGCTGACGTTATCAGCAGGCGCACCTAATCCGGCGCCGAGACCATATCACGTGACCTGCTGGTTCCGCGCGGCGGCGCACAAAAAGGCGCCACAGTCCTATTCCGCAAGAACTGTGAACTCATGAAAACTACCAGCTGTGAAGTCAAATTTAGTCAGAATGAACCTGAATGACTTCGTGAATTATGCGGAATTCGTAATGTGATGGTGAATTCCGGTGAATTCGTGTTGACCGTGATGGTGAATAACTTCGTGAAGTGACGGTGAATTCGGATGAATTCATGATATGTTGCTGATTTCGGATGAATTCATGATGTGGTGGTGAATTTCGATGAATTCATGATGTGATGGTGAATTAGGATGACTTCGTGAAGTGATGGTGAATTCGGATGAATTCATGAAGTGATGGTGAATTTGGATGAATTCATGATGTGTTGTGAATTCTGATGAATTCACGATGGTGAATTCCGATGAATTCGTGGTGATGGTGAATGACTTTGTGAATTGGTGATGTGATGGTGAATGACTCCGTGAATTCGGAGGCGGCGGTGATGTGATGGGGATGAATTCACGGCGCGGTTAAACGCCGTGATGTGAAGGGGATGAATTCTCGGCGGATTTTGAAAGCCGTGATGCGAAGGGGATGAAGTTTTGGCGCGGTTGGACGCCGGGATGTGAAGGGCCGTGACTTTGGGAGGTCGGAATACCTTGTGACGTGAATGCTAATGAATTTGAAGACGTGATTTTGTTCGTGATGTGATGGTGAATGAAGGGGTTCTAAAATGCCGACCTATGCTTGAGACGTGCGGGGGTTGCACTGAAGTTGCCCTTTGTGCAGCAGGCTCAAAGCCAGGGTGCGGAAACGCGGATGCTAATCTAATCATCCCCGTTTTCATTTGGGACCGTATGTTTATTTTAACTAATTAAAAAGTTAGTCGAGAAAATCATGCTAATTATCCGACATAACGCGAGGATTAGTCCCCTGTATTATGTTCCTCTGGCCGTATGACTGACCTGCACACACGGCATTGGTGTACTTTTTACGGATTTATTTTTGTTGTTGTTGTAATAAATATGTCCGAATTAAAATCGAACACCCTATGTATGCGACATCGCAGGGCCATATATAATATACGGCTCCGCGATTCTTGAGCTTTTAGTGACCATATAGTCACCGAACAACTCGAGAAAGGCAGGGAATGGAGAGTCATGAACCTCTCAGTAGTCAGTCAAACTGTATGAGAAAGCAAGAAGCGTGACCATAATACGTTGGGTCTCTTGAACTGTCATTGACCCATCTACAGTACGCTCCCATTTGTAATGCGAGTACGTTAGCTAATCTGCAATACGTAGCAATGGAAGCGGGAACTCTATACTCTCTTCTCACGCAGTCTCGCCCTTGCCTCGCAGGAAGCCTCGGAGTGCGAGAATGACGACGCTGGTCAAGGAGACCAACAACAACTCCGCTGGCAAGGTCGCAGTCAACGGCAGCAAGGCCCCCCCGGTCAGCAACGGCGGTGAGTGCTGGCGCCTGGGCCTCGAGCAATCACGTCGTAGAAAACAAGGCCGCTGTGCCGCAGTTTCGACGTCACCGAGGAAAGGCCAACGCGGGACGCGGGTTCGGCACGAGTGCTGCGTTAGCGTTCGTATTCGTAACCTCCGTTAAGTGACGTAGGAGAATACAGCACTGCGGCCTCAAGCTGACGCTCATCCGGATTGTTCGTAATCCACGCACGTAACAACGTTGATGTCGGTACGGGATGTTGTGAACTGAGGTTGGTAAATCCAAACCGACGCTGTGGTCGAGGGGCTTCCCGAGATGCTTTGCGCACGGCACTATACACCGCAAGGATATCGCTTCGATTTTGCGAGATTCGCGACTCCAGCGAACTATAAGGAGCAGAAAAAATGGCAGTCGAAAGGAGGTTCTTTTCATAGATAGAATCGTGAGAGCGTGTTGGTTAAACATTTTGGTATGCGGACGCAAAAGAAGACAAGGGACACAGAAAAACACGTCAGATGTCCCTTGTGTTTCTTTGCGTTCGCATACCAAGAAGAAGTTTTCGTCGTTCAGCACGCGGACCACCATAAATTTCTTGCACTGCAGCGTAAAATCGGTGTTATATATAAAAGCAAAGCAATTTTTCGACGGTAGAGACCTCCTTCTAGTCAGTGCGTAGGAATGACACTGCGGAAGCGTAAAACAAATTACTGGAAACGATGTTTGTTTCTATGCTGCCTAGGAGAACCCAGCAGCGATAGCAGACGACAGAGTCGAGACGACCCCCTCTTCTGAGCTTCTGAGCGTTGCCGCTACGGGGCGTCGATTTCGTTGGAGTCGCCAATTCTGAGAGCGGTGAATCTGGCTTGGTGCGAAAATAAAAACAGTCGAGTTTTAAGTCACGGTCACGCCGCTAAATACACCGTGAAAAAGACCGTCTGAAGACGCTAAAGCATTTTAAGGAACCTTTTTTGCACGCCCGATACGGTACGATGGGCACTCCGGTAGGAACTGCGCATGAGCGAGACTTCTCCGGTGGCGCATGCGCAGTTGGTACCGGAAGGCCTATCGTATACCGTATAGGAAATGCTATAACGGTTCCCTAAAACTCTCTACTGTCTGAAGCGTTTCTCTTCCCTGTACGACGGTTCCGCCACATTGATAACGCAAAAACAAAATATCTGCCGAAATGTTTCATGCATACATATGTGTGCAGCAAGCGAGCTTCGGACACTCTTGGGGTATGTCCGCAAAACATTCTGCCATCATGTCTATGGCCAGCACCGTGCCCTTTATATAATGTATCCGCAGTGTGATTGTGACTTATAAACGTCAGTGCGTCGCTTTAAAAACAAAAACAAAACAAAAACTTTACTTTTATTTTGTACAGCACTTACCTGTCTCCCGCGTGCAGGCAAGAATGTCGCCGACGCGGCCGGGGACAAGATGACGCTGGTCATTCACAAGTACGAGGCCCCGCCTGGCACCGAAAAGCAGCACGTCGTCCAGACCGAAGACCTGGACCGTTACGTGTCCGCCATGAAGGAGTCCGGAGGATTCAAGGAGCAGCTCGCGGTACACACCATCCCGAGAATCGCTCTCCTTTCGGCGCCATCTATTGTTGTGCGGGACGCGTTTCAAGTACGCGGGATATTGAACCTCCCACTACAACCCAGTGACTCAGGATTTTTTGCCAGGGAGATTATCACCGCAAAACTGTATACAGTAGACCATTCCAATAATCACCTCTGTGCGCTGCCATTTATTAAAGCTGTAGTTAACAGTCTGTTACTCGATTCTGTGCAAATGGGTTGCTAGCCTGTTTGCATCTTGAAGATGGACCGCACCGGACCCTACAAGCACTTACAGCCAATCCAGTGGTGTGAACGTATTACACGTTACTATGCGTTCCGCACGTCACTACCACTCTTAGAAATAGGGGGTGTGGGGGGTACACCCCTTGTCCTATACGTAACACCCCAAAACAACAATTCGACGTTCAGTCCGCCGAGAACTTTCACGAGCGGTTTGATAGTCGAGCGATACAACATATGAAAATAGCTAGTATACGCCTTAAAGGCTACAGTAAGCAAAAGCAAATTGTTATCTGTATATTTATACAGCCGGAAGTTAGTCTACCTCAGTGGGCGTCTGGTGTCTCGGCTGTAGATGAGCAATTTAGCCAGTGCGGTACAACCGCTAGCTCGGGGTCTTTAACGTGCACCACGCAGAAGTGATACACGACCACACGCAGGTACGATGCTCATCCAGATCTATACGGGCAGGGGCGGGGATTGAACCAAGGGTTCTGGGTTCTGCAGCGCGAGCTTTCGCTCCACGTGCTCTAAGCTGGTGTGCGCTAGCCCACTCGGCCACCGAGAATCAAGGTATTTTTGGCCCTCCTGCAAAATCTCAGTGTTTTTTTGTTTTTGTTTTTGTAGTCTTTGATACGCACACTAGCTCTTTAGTAAGTTATATCCAACAGCTATCAAGCCGCCCGTAAAAGTTAGTATTGCCAGCTCGACGTTGTGGACTGAATGTCGCAATGTAGTTTTGGGGAGTTACATATTGGACAAGGGGTGTATCCCTCTACACCCCCTATTTCTGAGAGTGTACGCCCCAACCGAAGATCACGTGGCGCCCACATGGCACTGGACTGGCCTTCGATTGCTCGTAGCTCCCTCTACATTTCGTCAGTAAGCTTAAATGAATTATAGTAGATTCTTGTCCACAAACGAGTTAGTATGTCACAGCGTGCAATGACCCACACAGCGAACCCGAAGCGTGTGTGCATTAACTGGTGCGGTGCACGTGTGCACAGCTTGTAACACGAAGGCCACATACGAACACGTTATGTTCCCCTTGACCCTTGTCAGATAGGCGTAATGAATCGTACATGGGTGTTTTAGAGCGCTGCTTGGTCGGAAATGAAATTGCAAAAATAACCCGATGAATGGAGTACAATGAAAGTTTTTGACAAAGATGCATTTAGTTGGTGCATTTATCGTACTAAAATTTTGTAAGTGTAGGTTTAAAAAAATTGCAAGAAAGAAAAAAAAAACTTGGTGTTTCCTATGCAACAGGAAGAAAAGGGATACGAATTATGCTGGTTGACCCACTTATCGTAACGCACAAGCTCGAATCTGCTGGATGTGCTGTTCATCTCTAAGAAGCTTCCAAGTTTTTGTAGCACGCGGTGCCATATGTAGCGATATGTGAGTAGCAGCGTTAACCCAACGGTTTACGTCTTTTTTCTCCCGTGCATTAAACAATTTTTTTTTTCAGACAGCTTTATTCGCGATATTTTGTTATAATACATGTACCACATGAAGACACCCGGATGAACAGTTTAATTGAACTCAATATGTTAGCTTATTTATATATAAAAAAGTTTACTCCCAAACAGTGCTCGGAAACACCCTGTATAAACACATTTATGCGTTGGAATTGCTTCAGATTATGCACCAACTGAATTAGTGCTTCAGTTTGCCCCGGTCTCATAGGTCCGCTAAACTTAGGGGAAAACTTCCCCGCTAAATTTATCAGAAAAATGTTAAAAATCAAAGGTCATGTAACCTAGCGTAACGCCGAAGCTTGCTAAGTCTTCGCTATGAACGCACTAGAGCGGTCAGTTTATGGCCTAAAAATAAATTCAAAACCAAACTTCTTTTTTTCTCTGTCTTTCCTCCAGACACTAAAGACGGGTCAGCTCAAGCCATGGACGGTAGCCCAAAAACCCGAAAACAAGATCAAGAACCGCTACGCCGATTTGCTTCCTTGTAAGTTCGCAGCCCGATGTATGGCCACGAATCATACTGTCGAGTGATCTTAGAGCCTGCCTTCACTAGCAATTGCACTAGACCCTTTTCAGTACCCCATTAAGCAACGTTAACACCGACCATTTCTTGGGCGCTGAATCCGAAACCCTCGCCGAGCGCTGACCCAGCCCTGGTGCCCAAACAATGGCGGACTCGGGTAATTCGAGCAGCGACCGCAAGGTGGCGCGCACTTTGAAAAGGAAAAATATTCTAAGCTTAAATGGAAAAACAAAATGGCTAGGTGGCGTGAGCTACCGCCCGATCCAAAGGGCTCAGCCGGATTCATCCATCCATCCATGTTTATCAACCCCTTCCGAATATCAAGTGCCGATTATTAGAAAGTGCGACCCACAACACACAGGCCAACGTTGACACAGGCGGAACAACCGCCGTCCTGGAATGTGCAAGTCATTCCGTCAGGTGGCGAACGCCGGAGCCCGTCGAACGCTAGGAGCCGACAAGCCAATTAAAGGGCGTCGAAAGTGCAACGTCACCGCCCTCACTACCTTTTTTTTTTGTGGGTGTTTTTGCTTTTTAATAAAAAAAAAGTTGTGCTGTGACGTTGTTGGAATTCCACAGCGGCCAACAAAGCGCAGCCTTTCGAAAAGGGTATATTATATTAAAGACTGCGGAAAAATGTACAAATAACCTGCATTCAATCATAAAGGTTGGATCGCTTGAACGCTTTCCTTGATTATCTCGCTCGGAAGTACAGAGGTGTGACTTAGGCAACCTTCGAGCTGTTGAACGAAAACGTGGACTCGAGCCTCGGTGGTCACGTGAAAAGTTGACTGAAAATCGCCCGTGACTTGTCGTTTTCCTTGCAGACGACGACACTCGGGTCATCCTTCACGCGCTCAAGAACGATCCGTCATCGGACTACATCAACGCCAACTACATTAGCGTAAGGATTAATCCGCCATCTTGAATCAATCGGATACAGTTGCAGCGTATCAGATGTACACGGGATGTCTCTGGAAACGGGGACCAAAGTTTCGAGGAAATTTATACTCGTATATCGTATACACAAGGTGTTTAAGAAAACGCTGCTCGCCGAATCGCTTCTGCAAAAAATACGTATCGTACAGATGTTAGATGGCATATTAAAAATATTCATAACGTTCGGTATAACTAGGTTTCTTAATCCTTCTGAGTAATGAACTTTCTATTGCGGTGCGGTTCGAACTAAACTGCAGGAATAAGCTTTGATTCTTGGGTTAACCTCCGCCATGCGAAGAATGCGTGGCTGCGCGCGTTCGTGGCGCGCTTTGGTCTCGGGGGAGCAGGACCGCAGTCGCGGTCCTGCTTTCGCACTTTCGCGATCACCTCAGTCAAACTCTAAGGTAGGTGTTTTCGACTTTGCTTTTAAAGCATGGTCTTGGTTTTTCAGAGTATGGAAAGTGAGTGTAGTTGTCCTTGATGAGGCCTTCGTTGTACGTGTGTCACCTCCTATGTGGAGGTGCTCATTTCCTAGACACAGTTTTATTTTGTTTGTGTCGTTTTTGATTGTCCAGAAGCACAAATTTCTCGCGACGACATTTAAGTGATGACGTCAGGTTTAAAAAGTGTCCACAAAGGGTGTTTCTTTTCCCCTTAGGGTTACAACAAGCCCAAGGCTTACATTTGCACTCAAGGTGAGTCGACACTCTTTTTCAAACGTTTACAGGCACTTGGGCTTTTAAGGTTTCATTTCGAGAACCGAAATCGCAGGTGCTCAACTTTGACTTGTTTAGAGCCAAAGTCAGACTCGTAGTAGCGACACCGGTGTAAATAATAATTGTCATCGCCGTTGTTATTGTTATACAAATCCTCAATCGAACGCCTGAGTGGACCTGATAGCGCAGGGGCGTTTCATTTCCCATACATGTCATGTTCAGCTTTGTAGAAGAAAAACAAAAATAGATGGAGATTTTGGCTATGACATTAACGTACTGCCGTCTGTAGTCGATTGCCATTGGATAGTTACAGGTATATAAAATAGTTGTCATGATGGGATAGTTACAAGTATAAAAGATAGTTGTCATGATAGTAGAATACTTCAGGCTTTACATGCTGGACCTCCACATCATCCATGGGCGTTGTGCCCTTCCAAATTTAAAGGTACCTTGAATATTCAAATTACATACAACAATGACAAAAGTCAGAATCACTAATGACCACGTTGAAAGGTTCATTCATGAGCGACATGCTTCATTAAACTTATTAAGCACAAATAGCTTAGTAAACCATGCAAACGCCTGAGAATAGCTACACTTTCCGAAATCGTTCACGGAACGCCGAGTTGAAGGTTATAAAAAAAAATGCTTTGTGTTCATAAAAGTTTTCACCGCACCCCACACATTTATAAAGTCCGATGCCCCTGTGCTAGTTGTCATTTCAGCATTACACGTAATGAGCGATAGACTTTTTGCGAAATTGCTCGGTGGTCTGACAACACTGAGAGCGTCGCCATTTTGATGTTGGCAAGCGACGTCCGTGCACCGAAGCACGGTGGAGGCATCGGAGACAGCCGTACGGGCAGTGTGCGATGACACGGCAGCTGTGTTTTTCACCTTCCGATTATGGAATGTGAACGTAGTTTAGATAATCCACCGCAATTGTCTGATGAAACTCTCGGAGGACTGTGTATGCTGGCGACAACCCGCAATGTGTAAGCTTCCACAGCGAATGCGTATAAACTTGCTCCGCTGCTTCGACGAAGTTGTCGCCAGCGTGCACAGGGCTCCGCGAGTTTCACGAGGCAGTTGCGGTAGGTTGTTTAAACTGTTCGTGCCCATTCTATGGTCGGAAAGTGATAAACGCAGCTACCGCGCCATCGCACACTGCCCGTACGGCTCTTTCCGGTCCCTAGCTCCACCGTGCTTCGGTATACCGACGACGCTTGCCGACATTAAAATGGCGACGCTCTCAGTGTTTTCAAACCACCAACCAATTTCGCCTAAGGTCTAGCCTGTTACATTTATGTCTCGTTGACATAAACCCCGTTAATATGAATACCCCACTATATGGACAACAGTTTCGGGGATCAAGTGGTTGGATACATGTATTTGTGTGTAATTATTATGGACAACTCATATAATACACAGTTTTAAAAGAAACGGAGCCGTTGATAGTAGCGAGGCACGACTGTAATAGTTATTAACAATATGACCCTATTCTACAAATTATTATATGCCAAGAGCAGTGGGTTTCCGTGTTGCGTGATCGGGCCACTGTCTCAAATTTTGACTGTACTGAGTAAGGTAGGTCGTAATTTTTATTATGACTCGCAATCCTTACTAAGAGTTGTTATCAAGAATATCGATTCAACTCAAAACTCTTTATCATGAACCGCTTTTGTCGTTTCGCTCACTATATGGTCTTTCTTTTTTTCTATTTTACACGGGCATACAGATGTCTTTCCCGAATAGTCTACAAATCATTGAGACGCGAATTGATCATACCTGTAAAACTTTATTGAATAAATTAAAACCATTTATCTTATAATCTCCTTTGACTCGGTGACCAATCTTTATAGGCCCCGTAGAAAAAACGGTCGCCGACTTTTGGAGACTCGTCTGGCAAGAAGAAATTTGCAAGTTCATCATGGCCGCTAACCTGATCGAAGAAGGAAAGGTATGTCTGCAATGCTGGTAATTCTTTCTCGTTTTTTCTTTGTTCTCGATGATAGTTAGAGGCTACTTACATCGTGACGTAACCAATAAAGTTTTTTTTTTTTAGAGTCAAAGAAACGTTTAGGATGCCTCAGGGCGTGTAGTTACCAAGTGAGAGAGCATACACTTCTTTAAAGCGTATGAAAGCGTAATTATATTATGATGCGGAATCGCCGCGGCATTTGAACTTTGTCTTATACTCTGTTTCACAAGTCCGACCGCTGCGAACAATACAGGATAAACGGAGGATCCTGTATTCATACAGCGCCAAATACGTTTCGTCACGGCGCGTCTTTGTGGACTTTCCGTCACCGGAAAAACTAATCACGGACAGAAAAGAAAGCGCCGGATCAGGGCGCATTCACACTGCGCGTTTATAGCCTATCACGCACAAAGCGAATCTTAAAGTCAGCGCCAATCTCTCACACATACAGTCAATCACGCACAGAACCAATCACGAAGTCAACGACGACCTCTCACACACACAGCAATTTACACAGAAAGACAATCACAAAGGCAATACCAATCTCACACATAAGCCATTCACATACAAAGGCAATCACAAAGTCAACGCCGATTTCTCTCACACAGCCAATCACGCGTAAATCAAATCACAACGGCACTATTAATCTCACACACATCCAATCACACAAAAAGCCAATCACAAAGTCAATGATAATCTGTCACACACACAGATCCAATCACAAAGTCAACGCCAATCACACACAAAACAGTTGGTGAAGTCAACGCCAATCTCAGACACATAACCAATCACTGACAAAACCAATCACATAGTCAACGCCAATTACACAAACACACACAACCAATCGCGCACAAAGTAAACGCCAATCACACACACAGCCTGTCACACGCAACACCGATCAGGCACAAAGTCAAGCACGCTCTAAGACGGCAAGCGCCGTGACGGTGCACTTTTAGGCACTGTTTGATTGGCTTCAAAGGATCGTGGTGTTTGCTGCGGTCGGTTTCGGCATGAAACGGGATATAGTACCGCAACGTATTCGCTTTGTGAATGTTTTTTTTTTGTGTGTGTGTGCTATGTATCTTTGTCTTTCGCTTTTCAACATCATCCTCCGCTGCTTTCTTCCTCTCTTTCTCTCCTGCCTAACAAATACGGACGATGGCCTTCAAGCCCATCAAGATCACCACGGGCATATCCGTGAGTTCGGCCGAATTACGTCTGCCTGCCTGTCTGAACCTGCATGAGTTACGAACCGAAATCCATTTGTTTTATTAAAAAGAAGGTCACTCTTTTGTATCTGCTTCAAAAATAAGGGATCACGGGTTTAGCAACCAGGAACTAAAACTCTCGACACTCTCGACGCGAGTGCAGGCAATTTCGGTGAACTCATTCGAAACGATAGCGTTTTGTTTTACGCATTGCTAATGCCGTCACATGGCCAGGTCAACGTAGATGGAGCGTTGGCACGTGCCGCGATAGCACCGTGGCAGTGTGTTTGCTTATATTAGGCAAATATACTTTTTTTCTGTTTCAGAGAATCTGCTTGCAGCTATAATGTATACTGCGCGTGCCCAACCAGTGGTCCACTTCCAAATGCATACAATTTGAATTGTTTTGTCTCTAGTACAGTTCATTTACTGAGAAACACTAGAGTTTCACCGCGTCGCTTACGTGTCCTATTATTTTCGCGTTACAATAATTTTAGCTACTAATGCTAAGCTTTTACCAATGTAATTGCTTTAGCCATACAGTGGCTTTTAGGTATACAATTGTTTTAGCAATACAATAGTTTGCAGCAATTTTTTAGCAACGCCGTAGCTTTTAGCAATACAATAGCAATAGTGCGATTTTAGCACTGTAGTTCTCTAGATGTTTGAACTAATAATGCGTGTTGAAAAGAAATGACAAAATAAACGAACGCTGCTTGAGTGTCCGTGTTGCGAAGTATGCGGAGTAAAATTGCACGAAACCAAAGTAGAAATTTCGAATTCGTCTGCGGTCATTCGACCTTTTCAAACGAATCATTTTTTTCTTTCCTCAGCGCAAAGTCGAGCGGTACTGGCCGGAGACGTGCAGCAAGTACGGCGACATCATGGTCACCCTCGTCTCCGAAGAGGTCTTCGTCGACTACACCATCCGCACCTTCAAGGTCCACAAGGTATCTCGCCGGGCTCGTCCATTTTGAACGCTCATAGATGGAACGTATTCTTGCAGCCACTACACTCTGAAAAATGCCCACGCGTTCTATTTACCCGCAAAACACTCGAAGAGCCGATCTCTGCGATCTACGAAATCAGCTCAGCGAATGATGAGGTGGAACATCCGTTTAGACCTAAATACAGTTCTCTCCCCGCAAAAGATCCCAAGCGGTTTTAAAGGTACACGGTCGTAACCAGTGGCAAGCGTGCGAACCATACTTACCTGTCATAATTCGTCGTCGTAAGCTGTGCAATGATGAAACTTACCTTCTTTCTCCCTCTTCGCGTCCGCGCTAATGCCGAGAAAGCAAGCGTTAACTCTCAATAATAAGTTTACATGCAAGTTTACATTAAAAAAAAAACACGTAAACGAACCATGTTCACGTGGATCATAGCTTTATCGTCGGTTTAGGTTCCGCAAGAGACAGGTTCGACTAGCCTGATGTTGAAGAACTCTGCCTGTACGTATATAGGCATCCTACACATTTTCCTATCGGGCACTTCCATAAAGCTTCCGTTTATAACCAACCACAAACAAACAAAATGGGGTCAGCAACGAGCAGCGCAACTAAAGCGATAACGCGTGACAGACCTTGTTTCTTTTTTTTGTTGTTTTTAAAATTTAGGTCTGGGAACACAAATTTAAAAACACACAAGAAAAAAAAAAAAAAAAAAAAAAAACATCGAAGTTTGGTTTAGTGCTTGTGGAATACGTGCAGGGCAATCGAAGATAGACATCACAAATGCTCACCCCACTGTCTCTAAGAAAAACAAAAATGAAGGTGTTATTAGCGCAACTTTTTGCCGTCGTATGGCACTAAAAAAGGGAGCCCGCGGTACTCCGTGCCAACGCTCCCAACGACGGCCACAAGTTCACCATCTTTGCCGCTTTGAGCAGGTCGGTGATCATGTAACGACGACGTCATTCGCAGGCCTCGTCTTCTATATAGGTGGCACAGGCTTCGCCCGCTTGATAACGTACAATTATTATCTAGTTATTCTTCTTTACCATCACGCCTGCGGCGGTTGCGATCAAAAATGGACGTGGTTCGTTCGCACGAGTAATGGCGTCTGTGCTCCGTCATCCCCAGTCCGGTGCAGCCAGCAAGCGGGTGGTGAAACAGTACCACTTCACGGCGTGGCCCGACCACGGAGTTCCGGCACATCCGCTCTCGCTCATCGAGATGGTCGAGCTGGCCAAGGCCCACGCCCCTTCCAGCCGGGCACCGCTGCTGCTACACTGCAGGTGCCGCCCTTTTAGCCCTCAAAGAAAAAACAAAAAAACTTTAAAGTTACGGCGTGGGAAAGATTACGATCAACTTCTAACGTAAATAATTTAATAACTTTAAACTGGGCCAGAAGGAGGAGAAGAAAATTACAGTCTAGAAAATTACACATTAAAGAAAAAGTGAGAGACCACGTCTCTAACTCAGCTGATAATGAAATCATTAGCTGTATTAAACACAATGTTTGTCGCCGTTTATTTTATACCCTCGTCAAAACCTTTTCCCCCTCCTTTTGCCCCAGTCTCGGGTTAAATTTATCCTGGAAACCTCCATCGGCTCGCCCGCGCACTGACTGCATTTTTTTTTTAATTTTCAGCACGTCTTGTAGAGGCCTTCTGAGCATGCGCTGTTGATCTGTTGTGCGATAAATCAGACGCTGCGCGTGCGTCCATGGCTCAATGAATCAGCATTTTTCCCCCGGTTGATAAGCGATGCAAAGGCAGCAACCACGCGAAAGAGTTTTCCGCGGGCCTTCCATACAAAATGTCGGGCATTCGTTTTTACGTAGGTTGTTGGTACATCAGCAAACCGGGAATTAAAACCGGTGTCCATAGCATCAATAGACCTGTGTGCAACTCTTGGGATCATCTGTAAGAGGAGTAAATTACGCGTAGGTTATCCGAGGGCAGAGACGCATTCCCTTCTTTAATAAATCAACCGCAAATTTAGGTGTATCGAAACTGTTGGATAATTTCGAGAATTACTTTTGCTTAAAATGCCCTCTCCCCCCCTCCCCCACCTTTTTTTTTTTTTTCAGCGGAGCTTTTAAGGGCTGGTTTCCCCAGGATAATGTCCGTGCATCAAAAAAGTTTTGACACAACACTCTGGACAGCTACCGCCATCTATGAGCGACGGCGGCAACGGAGTTGTCCGGTTGTCGCCGTCTCTGATAGATGGCGTTAGCTGTCCAAAGTGTTGTGTTTGCCGGTTGTCTGCTTGCCGCCGTCGCTCATAGATCGCGGCAACCTTTGCAGCGTTTCCACCCTTGCTTGCCGACTTGCGGACGGCCATTATTTGATTGCCACCATAGTACAGCTTCGCTGGTCTTCCTTCTTCACCTGAGTGGAAAGCCTGAAAGTTTTCGTTGTGCGGCGTTTTGCAGCGCCGGCGTGGGACGCACGGGAACCATCGTGCTTCTGGAGTCGGCTCTCGAGATGGCAAGAGCGGAGAAACGGGTGGACGTCATGGGCCTCCTCTATAAACTTCGCCAGCAGAGAGTCAACCTCGTAGAAACCTTGGTAACTTTTTTGTTTCTTTTGTTTTTTTCTAAAAAAGCCTTGGAGTCTATCAACTTCCACAGATGAGCATCTTGAACTGTCATGCTTATGTTCAAAACTGAGATGAACAAAGCGGCATAGGAATAGATATACTAACCAAAAACATTCGTCTACATGAGAGTTAGATATTGACGGTAACCTTTTGTATTCCATTAGCCCTCGCTTTGAGTGAACACTGAACAGGAACATTCGCATTGCGGTATTACTCTGCGACAAGTGGTAACCTTTAGAAATCGTGCTTTTTTTAATTGTTCTTCGGGTCAAATCCCAAGTTTGTTATTTGTCTACAATGACAGAGAGCTTAACTCTTGAATAATGGCTGGCGACGAGCATTGTAAAGGAGAAGGCCGTCCAGCCTTTCTACTACGAACGGCGGGCTTGCGTCACCGCTTAGATGACATTCCCATGACTTGCCCATTTCTCGTGCTTCGCAGGAGCAGTACGAGTTCGTTCACGAGGCTCTTTTGGAGCGACTGTTCGGGGAACCAACGCGGCAGCCACAGGACAAGCTGGTCCTCTACTTCAACAGAATTCGCCAGGAAAAACCGGATTGCAAGCACAGTGATCTCGAGCTCCAGTACGAGGTCTGTGGAAGGATTCAAACTTGCTCCGTGACTATTAACCGTCGTCGATGCATTGGGTCTAATGGCGAATTTCACTGGTCGTTTTGGAGCGCGCCAGGGTCGACTTTTCTGGAGCGAGCCTACTTCACTGGGCGATCGGGATCCAGACTGACGTGTTCCACTGGTTGCTTAGGATTAGCTCCCGCTCCAGATCTCGATCTGGATCCGAGAAACGTCGCTCCGACGATTTCGGGGGATTCAACCGGAAGCCAGCCGGGCCAGCCCTCAGCGCACACACGTGACTTCCTTTCTCGTGGGTCCTCTCGCCTGATCTCGCCCATCTTGCCTCAGAAGAATTCGTAATGGCCGCCTGCTTACCCCTTGGCTCGACAGCCGGTTCGTATTCGAAGAAGGAGAAGGTTTTGCCTCGCTAAGGGCATTCTGGCAATCTTTGCTAGAAGCTCCTAGGCCATTCCTGCCGCTCGTGCGTCGGACATGTGTTGGCGCCGCGATTGGGAAAACGTCTTCGAAAGGACCGCGGCGACCGCGGAAAGGGGATTCCCGGGCAGGTGAATGACGGGAAGGCATCCGCCGATCCCGGAGCAGTGGTCATGTTCCACAGGGGATCCGTAGGCGGCGCGACCCCGTTCGGATCGTGTGCTCCATTCCGGATCTGGTCAACTGATCCCGGCGCGCTCCAAAACACCCAGTGGAATTCGCCATAAGACTTGGAGATACAATTCAAGTGCTACTACTCAGCAGCAACCGAACTACGAAGTACTGAGACATGTGATTCAGAAGAGTCGAGACAGTATTTCAAAGTAGTTCACGCTGTTTACTTAGCCCACAATTCCTGCAGCGTTGTTTTACCAATCTTACTGTTTCAGATCTGTCCTTTGAACTATCTCCATTCGACAGCTCTGAGTTCTCTTCGCTTTCGTCCCGGCCCACTTTTGCACCAGCCTCATTTTTCCCACTTTTTCCGCGATCTTTGATTATATTTTTTTGAATGCAATGGCGAAACCAAAGTATGCTCCTTTTTCAAACTACAGTCATTACGACAACTGCAGTCACAGCTTCATGTATTTACCCCGCGTTGACTTCGAGCCACATGGCAAACATTGGGTGTCTAAACACCGCAATTACGATTACGTTTGAGCTCGAATGTCTGGGTAACACAGAGGCAATGACGTGCCCCGCTTTAACCTTAGCAGCGAACCGTTCAAGAAACGTTGCTTTTACGTTTTCGAACTCCCCTGTGACACCTAGGTGTATGACCGTCAAGTGCAATAAACGCTATGGTTAATAAAAAAAAAAAAAACATTACCAACTCAGTTTGACGTTTCTTATGTGCAAATAAAAAAACAACGACTCTGTAACTGAAGTGACTGGTATTTCGCTTATTATTCCAGAGGCTGAAGAAGTTATCCCCGACTCTACCACAAGAGAAATGCAAGTTTGCTCTCACGAACGAGAACAGGCTGAAAAACAGGTCCATGGAAATCCTTCCCGGTGGGTCATTGGTAGCGATGCACTTTTTAAAGCCTATCCGGAGCGCTAGTTCGTCTGCTTCTTTTCCAGAGGTTCTGGTGACGTCATAATGCCGGTCTCTGACTGGCTCCGATTGAAGGATAGTGGGTAGACCTCCAAAGCAAGCTGCCTTGAGGACTACCCACCATCCTTCAATCAGAACCAATCAGAGCTCAGCGTTTTGACGTCAACGCAACCCCCGCAAACAAATAAAAATATTAAAAAAAAACTTTGCATGGGACAGTGGTAGTTGCTTAACGAACACTGTTTCTCACAGATGACGAAGGGAGACCTATCCTGGGAGCGGGGGCTTCTTCGGTCTACATCAACGCAGTCTACACAAGCGTAAGCGTAGACACTTTGCTTAGAAATGTTCGGCCTACTTTTTATTTGGAGAGAATAGCAAGTTTCTCGTCTGTTTTAGGTTGTTTCGATTTGCTTGTTTCACTTTTCAGCAAGCAGAACTTGGAAAGAACAAACATTAAACAAACGTCGACCTACGTTTTGCCTGGTTTAATTCCTCGAGATGTATGGAAGCGAAGACTAGAAACCCGAGCTCACAGCTTTGACAGCAGTCACTCCTTCTACACGTGTGAAAAGGGGATGATTGGAAGGCCGAGAGCTTAGCCTGAGTGCATGACTCTAGCAGACTACTCGACACTTGGGGAAAGGGTGATACGATAAAATGAGATGAGGAAGGGGATAGGAGATGATGATGAGTTGATCAATGAGGAAGGAAAATGATGAGAGTATCAAAGGTTAGTTTTCTTACACCTTAGAGCGTCAGTGCAAGTCTTGCGTCTCACAAAAAGATGATCGAGGCATTTGTTGCTGTAACGAAGCTTTCAAGAGAGTTCCAACCACCGATTCCAGTAATTTTTTCAACAGTAAACGGACTATCATCCAGGCTTGAGAGAGCCGTCTCAAGTGTCCGTTCCTCGGTGTTGTGAAGGGGGCATATAATAAGAATGTGAGTTGGTGGTTTCCGGAGAGTGGCACGTTAGACAGTTCGGACTTGATGCTTTCGTGATCTTGTGTAGATACTTCTTCGTGAAATATACTCCAAGACGTAATATATGAATCGTAGTTCTTTCTACGCGAGAGTCCATACAGGCGAGGCGCGTCCTTTGTCGAAGAGTTCGCGCTTGCATCTTTCATTCCGGTACCTCTCCAGGGAAAACACAACCTAGCGCTTCTCAACATAGTCATCCAGAGGCTCATTTTGTTTGACAATAATTGATTAAAAATACACTCCCGCAAAATTTTGCTGGAGGTACCCGTTTCACAATTATGGCTGTACGGGTTATTTCGACAATGGCCAGCTCGCTGCTTCTAGCGCGTAAAGATTGTTCTTTGGCATACTATTTTTATTTCTGCGAATATGATGTCCGAAAAACGGGGCGCTCATGTCGCACCTAAGCTATGTGTACATGCACTCTTTACTCGCTAAAATGTATTTTACTTCCTTTTCAAGGCTGACCAGCGAATAGCCTTTTTTTGCCCATGTCTTGTACCGAATTTTCATTGACAGAAATGTTCCTTTTTTAATTTTCTGTCTTACTAGATTGGCCCATAAAGACATTGATAGTGAAATTGTCCTACCAAATGGCTTCTTTACCAAGGCGCTCTAACTGTACCCCATCCTGTGTGTTGTACCCGAGTGGTGGTCTGGCCTGTATATCTCGCCAGATATGTAACGTAAACGATACGCTAACCTGAAAACGGTTATGACTCGGTTATTCGAATGCCGATAAATTACCGCAGTCTGCAGAAATATGTTTGTCGAACGTTTTTGTACGTCTCCTGACCTTATACCGCCGCGTGCCTACTTCAGGGCTTCGCCAACCGCAAGACGTACATCGCGACCCAGTACCCTCTCATCATCACCGTGGAAGACTTCTGGCAGCTGGTGTATGACTCCGGGTCGCAGACCATCGTCTTGCTCAACGACATTGACCCGAAGGACGAGGTGGGTCTGCTACGATGCCATTCTTCAGCATTCGCCTCTTCATCTTGATTTTCACGCAGCTGTATAGGTGTAGGAACTGAGGAGGAAAAGGAGGGGACATCAGAAAGCCGAGCTCTATACTCTGTTTCACCTTGTCTTGTACCGCAGGAAAGGCTACACGCGCGAGCTTTTTGCTCTATGGCCACGGTGTCTATGGCACACCTCGGCGGCACTAGGGTGCCTTCATGTGCGCTTTGCTTAGGGTGGTGGCATCTCGCCATTTTTTCTCACACGTTTATTTTTATTTTTTGTTCAGAAGCGCGTGAAAGAGCGTGGCCCTGCACGCGTTTGTGGCGTTGACTGTATTATGGCGACATTTTGTTTTCGTTGATTTCCTTGTATTTTACCCTTGAGCGCGTGCTGTCGGCATCGGGTACTACAAAGGGTGGCATCACCCTAAACAGAAGGACATTGAGGCACCCTAGGCGGCACAAGCTCTCGTGCACCAAGGGCAGCTGCCAACGCAATGAGCTCGCCCTTTTAGCCTTCGCTTCGGTAGCACATAAGGTGAAACAAAGTATAGGGAGTATTCACTGGACGCCATGTTTGTGGATGCTGTTTAGAGCGCATGCTCAGAACGAGCTCACATCAATAGGCTGCAATGACCGGCACTCTTGATGCTGCGGAACGCACGTTGCAAAATATTTGTGGAAGCTCGCCATCAGAACGCACTCAGCGTTCGCGCACACAGCTATGGCCGCCAGTGAATACTTCCTATAGACGCTTTGCAGCAGCTGTGCATGGGTGCCGCCATAAGTGACCTTTAGTTTTTGTTACCTTTTATTACAATTATTTCACTTGATTGTTAGCAGGGCAGGTTATTGCCCTTTTAGGTTCTGCTGTGTCCTCTTCCACAGCATTGACCTTTCTGGAGGATCGTCAACGCCCGCTTTGGTTGCTTGGCATCTGGGAAAGACAACTGAAGGTCATCAATGGCGGCTGTAATTTGGCGCGTGTGTAAAGCGTATATAGTTGGAATGATTTGGGGGTACATGCAAAGCTAGTTGTCTTTGTCTTCATTCGCTGTTCGAACCGGCTCGAATAGACCATTCCAAAAGCAAGAGATTATGACATGTAGGGTGCCTACATGTCTGTCTGTCTCAGGGTGAAGACATCCATTGTTGTCCGGATTGTGCCAGCGCGTGACGCTCTCGCGCACTCGGTGCGTGACTTGGGCGGTAAAATGGCGTCTATGCATCAGCCAAAGCTACGCGCTCGAGCTGAGCGACACCGGACTGCGCGCACTTAAAAATACATAAAAAAACGATTGGGAGGAAAAATGGCTGAGATGTCACCACTCAAGCAAAAGCGCGTGTGTGTATGAAGGCACTCTACTGACGGCTATGTTCCAAATCTTACCCGAGTAACCTGCCTCCTACGTCAGCGGGTAATACCACGTGACATCGCGAGTAAACGATCCGCGACTCGATTTTGGAACGGCCAGGATAATCACCTGGATACTACGCGGATTGGCTTCGTCTTGGGTGACGGCAAAAAGAAAACACAGCAGCGATGGCAGAAAATAGCAGACGATCCTTTTGATCATGGAGAAAGCACCCGAAGAACGGTAATGTTAATGACGACGCGGTGTTTTTTGAGGTGGATCCACCAGCTCCTTTTACTCACCTTCATTTTGAGCTGTATATTGAGATCAAAATTACTTACTCCTTACAGCTAGACATAAAAAAAAAGTGTTTTTATTAATCAGCGCGATCGCTGCAATTCTAGTCACGGTGCCCTAAACGCATATATTCCACGCATTGTAATTTGCACCGATTATGTTTTGCAGAAATATATTCCACACGGTGCAGCGGTACAGCGCGAGGGTGCTTTTTCCAGAATGATGTGAAACTCACGTTCGCTTTGACGGGAATGTGATTACAGTGAAATTTTCGAAGCCTTCACTGCTTTACAAACGTTATCCTCTCATTACACACACTCTGGAGGAAACAAAAATACTACATTATTATATACCGAGTTCAAATATTTTCGGCCTTGAACGTGAGAATACGGCATTCCCCCAACGCCGAGGACGAGGATGCGGAGAAGCTCCTGTTTACGCTCGCACTCAGGTAATAACAAGTACACCTTCCCGGGGAAGGTGGACGGTCTGGATGTAATGCAGTAAATTCCTGCGTTGACAACAGCAAATCGCAATAACCACACATGCTGCACTTAATTCTTTGTCATTTCGAACGTCCGCCACCAAAACCAATGATGCAAGCGAGAATTTGACGGCTGTCGGCGCAGAAAGCAGACGACGAACAGATCACGTGACGTATTTACTCGATTTGATCCGACTTTACCCCCCGATCGAGGAGGGTAGCGCGAGTAATTACTCCGGAGTAAACAACCCGCTTCTGGAACGCGAGTTCTGACATCATCGAGTAAGCTCGAGTAAGTTTTGGAACGCCACGGTACGAAACTTTTACTCCGGAGTCGGATCGAGTAAATTTTGGAACACAGCCGACATGTTCCACCTTCTAAATTTGCGTGTATAGCACGTGGTTTGCTTGTCTTCCGAAGCCACGAGTAGCGCGTGCGTGCTGGGCTGTGCAGATCGCACGCTGAGTTGTGTATTTGGGCACGCTGGAAGGCCCTATTGGTGACGTACGCGATCGAAAACGTCGCTGTGATCAATCTTCCACGATTCGACCAGTATAGTGACTATGACGTCAAGAAAGGATTTCTTTTCGAAGGAAATCAGAGGAATGGAAAAACTTCAATTTTGGCGGTGTTGGCAGCGTTGGTTTTAGAGCGCAATGATTTCAAGCTTCCACCATGCTCATTACAAACAACATGGAACTTGTTGTTCACAAAGTAATGACGTCACGAGAAGGAACCATGGGGGGGCGCCACCAAAACACCTCGCCGCTAATAGGGAGCATTCAGTGACGGCCGTAGCTATTTGCACGACTGCTGAGCGCGTGCTGATGGCAAGCTTCACGGTTCTTTTGCAACAGGCATTCGAAACCACGAAGATCGCCGGTCTTAGCAGGCTATTAATGTGAGCTCGTTCTGAACATGCGCTCTAAACAGCACCCACAAATATGGCGCCCAGTGAATACTCCTTATAGAGAGTATTCACTGGCGGCCACATCCGTGTGCGCTGCTGCTGAGCGCGTGCTGGCGGCGAGCTTCCGCAGTCCTTCTGGAGCGTGCATTCAGCACCATCAAGGTTGCCGGTCTTAGCAGGCTATTAAAGTGAGCTTATTCTGAGCATGCTCTCTAAACATCGCCCTCAATTATGGCGTCCAGCGAATACCTCCGTTTTCGTTACCTCCGTCCCTGCATCCTTGTAACGTACATGTTCCTATTGTATATCGGTGTGATTTACGTCTTGCAGTTTACAGCGTCAATAAACTTTTCGTTAAACTTAATAGTGAACAGAAACAAAGGCAGCTAACTTTGCGCCTATTCACAAATCATTCCAACCAGAGCTCGGCGCTCTCACATATCCACGCGCCCTCGTCTTTTCTCTCCAATGATTTCCACCCATATTTCTATGCCGACACCACGTGGCGAATTCTGTTTGCAACTTTCAGAGATGGCGGTTCCCGCTGTGTGAAAATTGCACTCCCTATTTGCTGGATGATCGACTTCGCCATAAAGATGCCCTAATTTACACTTTGTCAGCATAAAAGTGTGAAGTAAGGTTCTAATATCACTCGTATATTTACAAAATTCGGATCATTCACGCCTCCCAGACCTACCCTCGTACTGCTAATCTACGTCGACCAGGTGGCAGTCCTTACGATAAGCCCCACTGGGTCCTCTTTAGGTTCTCAGAGTGGCGAATAGAATGACTCAAGCAAAAGGAAGAAGTTAACAAACACATCACTCACCCTCATTTGAACGTAGTTTAGTTTTATACCAACACTGGCGCTATCCGACAGGAAAATAAGCTAGAAGCGTAGATGACCAAGTGCTGGGCATCACTCCGACATCAAAATCTAGCCCGCATGCGAAGTTTGTTAAGCGTACGTTGAAGTGGCCTTTATTTTTAAATTGAATGCGACTTGATTTACCTAGAATATTGTACTTCATTGGCCAAAATGTACATTTACAATGAGGACATCTTACGTGATTTTGCGGAAGACCAACTTCCCGCTGTCTTAGGCCTGGTTCACACTCGAATCGGCGGGCGAATCTGCAAGAATTCGTCCGCCGTGCGTAGCGTCCACTGTGCATTGTCGCGGCCGATTCCGCTTCGGCGGCAGCGGATTAGCTGTAAGTGTGAACCAGGCCTTAGCATTCGTACATAAATCCGGGTTTGAAAGAAACATCACGTTCACGACGTTTTAACTTGAGCCTGAACGATGCTCAGTTCAGCTTTAGAGTTCTTTCTTACTTTCTTATTGTCCTAATTTTCTTGTTGCGCTTTGTCTGTATTTGTCCCAACATCCCTCCGTACGTGATGTGAATAAAACCTAGAGTTGATAGGTGTTTGAGCGCTTTGTGGCAAAACGAACACGCTTAACCTTTCGTTCGCTTTATTTTTCCGGTCTCATGGCCAACTTTCTGGGACATTCGACGGAATAAGAAGTCTTCTAGGAAATATCAAAATTCGAATTGCTCTGCGTTTTATAATACCCAGGCAGTTATAGTGTTGGGGTACACTACGATTATTTGTAAAGAAAAGCAAAAATTGCTAATTTTGTCATTGTGATCCATTGAATTCAAACAAAGAAAAAAAATAACTTGTAAAGTCGTCAAATAAAAACTATACGCGTCCAAAAGATTAATTACTGCTGTTTGATATTCTGTGACTGTCGTTTAAAGCAGTGGTTCTCAAATGGGGGTCCGCAAAGCCCAGACTTATCAGTGAAGCCCGCCAATGAAAGTTGTCTTTTCTTAGATTGAGAAGACACGTTCCGATTTCCGGGTGACTTTTCTCGTGTATTAGTCAATAAGAGAAGTTTACTTAACACTATCACTTTGTTACATTCATTTATGAAATTACTCATAATTAACCTATACTTTCCCTTCCCCTCACCACGAATGGGATCCTCCATCATCTCCACCGATCCTCAAAGGGTCCGCGAAACATCAGCGGTTGAGAACCACTGGTTTGAAACATTCCCGGGGAACATCGCGATGTGTGTTGTTGTTCAGTTAAAATTCGCATTTTAGTGCATGCGCTAAGACGATAATGTCAAAAGAAAGTGAGGGATGTTTGCGGTGCACTTTTTGTTCGTTGTCTCGGAACCATTTATGTCGATGATGTTTTGAATCTGCCGCGCGTCACCCTCAGCTTCGCCCAACTTGCCTTGAACCTTCTTCCTCGCTTCACCACCTCAATGCCGGTTCACATCGTTGTACTGGAATTTATATTAAAAAAGAGGCCATTTAAACGCAGGATAGAAGGCAAACTGAATGTATAGGTTCACATAAAGCGAAACGTTAGGTGGCCTTTCAAAATGGTGTATTGCATCTCTTGTTTTTGGAGGGCGAGGGGATCAACGCAGTGCAAAATGCAAACCTAGGATTTTCAAAGTGTGTCACGCACGTGTGTTAACTCAAACCGTATGCCGGTGGAGTTATTATGTATTCTGAAAACGCTAGAAATGGGAAGTTTCCGAAAATCTAAAATCTCACTTGGTCAGAGCAAGATGGCGCAGTGCAAACGTTAGAAGAGTGCTTGCACGCATTATTGGTAAAAAAATGTAGAAATAGAGGCGCGCAATTAAGGTTATAAACTTTTTTTGTTGTTGTTCCAATGCAGTCACTTCCCTTATTCTGGCCCCAAACTGGAAGCATGCACCATCGTCATTTACGCATCGATCACGTCTCGACTGACGTGGCCACGGGGGGAGTTCTCCTGCGCAAGTTCAAGCTCAAGAACACCGCCAAGGTAGGATATGTGAAGGAAGTAGAGTGACGAAGCCAGTGTGGCAACCGTATACAGCTGCAGTCTATGCTATATGCATTCGGCGGTGATTAGTGCACCTTCACTGCAAAGAACAACAACAACGAGCAAACAGCATATACAGTTAAACTAAAAACAAAATAAAAAAATCTAAAACAAAAAAACCCTAACTTTTTAAACAAGAAAAATTAGTAATAGCAGCTGAAAAATCTAGTTGAAGGTTTTGCGGCTCATAAAGCGACAAATGCCGTATTGCGTTAACGACATAAGTGTAGCGATTGGTAAATTGATGATAAACATAAATAGGGTATTTTGTTACGTTAATAAAAAAAAAAAAAGATTGAAAAAAAAATGTATAAAACAACAACAAATTTGCATCACGCCAAATTAAATTAGATGCCGACAAGCCGCCATCCGTTTCACACCTCAAGAAAAAGTACTTCTTAAAATGCAAAAACAAATTCATAAAAAAAAAAAAAAAATCTTGCGATAGTCGATGTTAGGTTAAGAGTACAGTGGAAGCTCCTCCCACTCCTTTCCACTTTGGCAGAGCAAACACTGGAGAGAAGTTGACCTCCTCTCCAGCGTTCTCTCCGCTAAAGCGGGAAGAGATGGGAGTAGTTTTCCCAAATTTCTTTAATCTGTAAGCCTGTAACCAACCATAGATCAGATTAGAGTACACACTGACCCACGTGCTTTTTCTGTATCAATACAATGGGGTCAGGTGATCGTTTTAGCAGAACGCTTTAACAAAAACTCGTTCAGTAATGGTAAGACCGAGTATGAACACGTCACACTAACTACTACTATCCACTACAACCATATCAGAACTACAAGAACTACACAGTGCTCATCGGGGTACTCACCTAAGCGAAAACAAATTTAATACCCGCCAATACCCTTTCGGAGTAAAATTTCCAAAACGTACCGATGTTGTGTTCGTGCTAACCGTTTCGCTCATGCCCGTGTCCCACTGGAGCAACAGACAGAAACAAACGACAGCGAGAAGCCTCAAACCAAAGTCTTTCGCGGTTTAGAGGCTTTGTAAAATAAAGGAAGCTATGCTCAAACACGAGCATCATGCACGCGAGGGTATCTTTAGCAGGTTTGCAATTGCTTGGGCTTGCTTCACGAACACCGAACGACTAAACGCCTGCCAAATGTACCATCGCGAGCATGCTTCAAGGGTTTGAGGCTTGTCGCTGTCTTTTGTTTGTGTCTGTCGCTCTAGTGGGACACGGGCATCAGTGTACACATACCTGTACACACCGACTCAGGCCAACACCACCTAGACAGAAGGCCTCCACATGCGTCATCATAGTCAGATCGATCGAGGCGAGAGATTGGGCACGAGTGCTGCGTCAGTGTTCGGCTGCGGCTCGTGGCCAATCAGCGCGTCGAAGGTCGGGCTCGGGTCCAATAGCCGACCGAGCGCGATCCGACTGTGATGACGTTTCATAGAAGAAGAGGAAACCATGCGGAGGCCCTCTGTCTAGGTGGTGTTGCTCAGGCTTGATGTTCTCCGTCGCTCACAGTCTCCCAAGTCCCGCATCGTGAAGCAGTTCCACCTGCAAGGTTGGCACAAGGGCGATGTGGCGCCCCCGTCCGTCGACCTTCTCCTCCGGCTCTTGGCCAAGGTGGAACGCTGGCAGAGGAAGTGCCCCGGAAACCCCACCATCGTCTCGTGCTTGTGAGTGTGCACCATCTTTGCTTACGCGGTCCAATGTATCCTGCTCGGGAATGCAAACCATCTTGTTCGAGAGTAGATCGCACCACCGTCTTGCTTCCGGGTACAATGGTAACCTGTTCGTGAATGCAGACCACATTTGAAACTATGAATTCGGAACCCCAAGCAGAAAGAAAAGATTGTTTGTAGGGAAAGGTTGAAGGGACGATGTCGTCTGTTCGTGTCGCTTTCCTACAAGTTTTCACCTTTTCTCTCTCCAGGTAAAATTCGGAGCTAACAGTAAATGTTTCTACGTTGATTAGAATGTTAACGTGTGATACGTAGTATACTGTGAGGAAAAGAAAGTCTGCTTCACTTGGACGTCTGTTTCTTTTCATCCAAAGAAAGGAGGAAAGCGTTTTTCGGCCCGATTAAATAAAATGTGCGTCGCAGAAATCTCAAATTCCGTGAGAACGTGACGTCAGTGGCTGGGATATTACGCGAAAGTTTGAGAAGGCGACGTTACCTGGATCAAAAGATAATTGGGAACTACCTCATTTCTTTGTGGGCCGAGTCTTGATAGTTTGTACCGGTTTTAAGATTGAGTCGAAACAGAATCTTACTGGAGTAAGCGCGGTCATCTATGCTCTTCTGACTCTCTACCAGGCGATCTTTCCCCCTATAGGATTAGCTACAAAAGTGCAGCTACAATAGAATAACATCCCTCCGATCGGCTAAGACGCGAAGCCTAATAAAAGAAACACACGTCCAGGTGAAGCACTCTTTATTTTCATTACAGTTTTCTACATATTCAATGTTAACATTCTAATCAGAGCAGAAATATTTTATTTTACATCAGACTTTTACATTAAGAAAGATAATCGCTAACCCGTAGCATGGCGCACGAATGAAAGCATCGACCCTTTAACTTTTTCCTACGAAAAATCTCTTCTTCCCGGAGTTCTGAACCCACCCCGTTGAAAAAAAAAAATTCATAGTTTTGTATATATATATTTTTCCACCGAATGGAATTAGTGAAATGAGCGATCTTATTGCAGCAACGGAGCCACCGCCAGCGGCCTATTCTGCGCTGCCTCCTTCTTGTCCGATCAACTGAAGACAGAGCGACAGGCGGATGTGCTCATGGCGGCCAGAACTGTCCGCCAGCACAGACCCACCTTCATTCCCAATGCAGTACGTCAAACATGTCGTGTTTTCCCAATTTTTGAGTTTTATGCGGGTAATGAGCCAAGAACCCCGGAACGTTAAGAAGGGACAGTACAACTACAAAAACCACATTAAGGGCCGGTTGCACCAACGCCGCTTACCTTAACCCAAAGCGGCACTTTCCTAAGCCGGCTTAGCGCCCTAAACCGAGCTCAGGTAAGCACGGGTTTCAATTCCGGTTGCACCAACGTTAAGCCGGCTTTACAGACGTGCCCCTAGCTAAACGCTGGATTTGCGTAGGGAATCTAGGGACAAACAGAGCGAACTAGGGAACGCTCAGAGGCACGAATACGATTGGTGGAGAGGAATCACGTGATGTAAACAAAACAAAAAAAAAAAAACTGCCGTAGTAGTCGTTGTTGGCGTCTGCTTTTCGCTGTATTTCTTCGGTGAGTAACAAATTAAAGGTCTCCAAATTCAATCATTTTTTCGCTTAACTTTCAATAACAGAAGTCAAAGCTTTAAATAAACACGAATGCTCTTTACATTTGTGATTGTGTGTTTAATATCGGTTGATAACAGGATATCTTGACAGTGGCAGTAGTTTTCGTGCTCACATTTTGAGGTGAAGGAGCCATCGGGGGCCCCAAATCTCACCGAACGCGAGGACACTCTACTCGCTACATCGCTGAAGACTAAGTAGGCAGGTAAGATGACTACTAAAATCAAGTCATGCCTGAGACCGATGAAGTTCAAAACAGTGACAAACTCGCCACGGCAGCTGCGAAAATGCCCGGAAATCGTCGAAGTCGTCGAGAGGTCAGGTCACGAGACCTTGCATCGACGGTACTCGTTGCTATCAGCAAGGTGACAGAACTGCATTGTACCGTCGTTGAACATCCGCTGCAGCCTCAAACAGACTTCAGTTTCACACCCTGTCGGGTTCAGGAAAAGAAAAACTCCCACTAGTACATCACATCGCGCCGATAAGAACGGTCGTCTCTTCGCATCACCTGCCCCAGCCTGCCCCGATACAGCAATGAACGAATCTAACATAGTAGTCGTTACGATTTGTCGTCGGCACGAATGAAAGCTTATACAATCTTGTGCGCAACAAAGACGAGGACAAAAGCAGAGAAGACACAACAAGGCACAACTTTCAACTGAATTTTATTGAAAACGTGGTCCGGTATATAGTCTCAGCCATCGTCACAATGACAACAAACAACAAAATTAAAGGAAAAACACGATCACAGAGCATAACTGGGAAACAACACTATCTCGTTCACAGAAAACGAATGAAAGATATAAAGCAAAATATTCCTAAAAAATCGCGATCATCAAAGACGTTACGGTTATGGAACGATGCAGTTTTCTGAAGCCAAGATTCTACTCGGAAAATTCACTGATGATTGTCTCAAAACTTAGAAAACGAAAGAAATTGAATTTTCGTTGTTTTATTGCTTAAAAGCGCCGCAGTCTAATGCGAACGGCAGAGGTGTCGACAATCAGCTGATCGCCGAGATCATGTACAGCCACTATTCAACGCGCTGATCGAATTGAAGGATACGCGCTGCAAGTGTAAATAAACAAGGTGGTAAATAACAATACGTTACGGTTATGCGAAAATTAGTAAGTACATACGAATAAGTTCGTTGACACAAGAACCAACGGGAAGACAGGCGTGAGCCCCGTGAGCCCCACAGACCCACAGCTCCGTACGTATCTCGGTTAGGGCTAACACGCCCTGAGAGTGGAGAGCCGATTTGAAAACGGGGGTCGATAAACACTTCACGCGACAATATTTTGCATCCTTGTCACAATCGAAGGTGATTCTGTCGAAACTTTCACGCTGATGTAGCCTAAAACACTTTACACAACCAATTTCGTTTACCGCGTCGACCGCGAAAAACCAGCGGCCATGTTTTAAATCCAGGATTAAGAAAGAACCAAAAGCAAAGCGCCCAATCAGCCCAATGTTGAGCGCTTAAGTTAAGCGTAGTTTAGCGCCAGGTTTAGCGATAAGCGATTTTGGTGCAACCGAACGAAACCGAAACTTAGCTTAGGTTCCCCGCTAAGCTCCGCTTTGTGCTAAGCAGCGTTGGTGCAACCGGCCCTAAGACTGGAAGTTCGGCTAGTTGATTCTGACACAGACTGAGATTTACGTATATAAAAAAAAAGCAGAGACAAAAGTGAGAGGCAACAAAAAACAAAACGTTAAAAAAAGGTGCCCGTTGTAAAATAAATAACTTGAATTAGGAATGCGATCTGGCCTAGTTGGTTCTGACTTATACTGAGAATTTATGCCAAACGCCTTGTCTTGTGTTCCCTCTCACTTTTTGTCTTTTTTTTCATAGTAAAACCTCAGTATGAAAAACAAATCTACAAACACATTGTAACCCTGGAGCCCCGTGTTTGTGTTGGTCCTGTTCACGCTCTAAAGTTTTACAATCTGTACTTAACCAGCTCGTTATACGATTTGACATTAATTATGTCTACAATCCCAATTTTTAACTATGCATGTTGGTGGCATTCGTGGGTACAAAGAGCAGCGTGGCGCCGTACAAATCTTTCAGTTTCAATGACCATTTCAGACCTTGGGTTCACAAAGCTTACCAGACCTAGGCTTTAATGAAGTATAGACTTGATTTCAGGCTAAGTGCAGGTGCAACCGACACTTTACCCGCTAAGACCAATCAAGCAGCCACAAAAGCGCAAGCGACTGGGCCTGTTCGGTTTATGATTGGTTCGACAAAGTAAAATAGTTACAGAAACACGACGAACATCATGGTGGTGCATTTTTGACGATGTCTTATTTGTCTCGTAGCGTTGGCTGCGTTAGGAGTTATCCTGAAATTTTTGGCTGGCACGCAGCTGCGCTGCGAGATCTAGTCTGGCCACCGTGGATGGAAAACGCTTTTGTTTTGGCGCGAGTCTGGAAACGGTGGGCACGCCCCAGCCAATGCTTGACTATCAAACGATCTACACACACACCACCAGCAAGATGGCGGCTCAAAGATGCCGTACTTTAAAACGTCTGTAGTCACTGACAGCCTAAGAAACACGGGGGGTGGCTCATTATGTTAATTAACTCTCCTTGCTTTCTGATAAGTTCTTCGGCGTTCTCGTCGGTCAATGCTGCAATCTGATTGGTTGTGGAGCGGTAATGAGATGTGCTGCGGTCAATACAGCGCATGCGTAGACGCTTCGCCTCACTGGAATCTGGTTTTTGCGCACGCGCAGAAGGGTTATAAACAGGGGCTTGTTTACAAATTACGAACCGCGTGTTGGTCGATAGCGTAAGAGGATGTAAGCTTCTTTTTTTCCCCTTTTCCACTCACAGACTCAGTACCGGTGGCTCTACGAAGTCGCCGTCGCCCTCGCCAGCTCCAAGCAGTCCAAGTCCCGCTGAGAAACGTCCCACCTCAAAAACGAATCATCCACCGTGTCTTGCCTCTTCATGGGCCACAAGGAAGAACCTGCTAACATCCGCGTCTCGGGCCCTGCATCGGGTGTTTCCGTACAAGAACCCCGCGATGAAACAATAAGTCACCTAAAAAAAACAAAAAAAAAAAAAAAAAAAACGATGCGCAGACAGGCCAGTTGTGCCATGAGTGAAAATCATGGTGCACCGCTGCAAGCACCCCACAGAAGTCCAGAAAGAACATCCTTGACGCACGTACATCGACAGTTCGAAACCCCGTGCACTTTTACCTCTCATTGGTCCAACTGGCCATTCTCCGAAAATGTTTTAGTCCGCATTTACACTCAATAACGTCGATGTGGTCATTGATAGGCTGAGGACGGTGTGGAGAAGTTTCGGTTGTTCCGCCTTCAACGCGGGCATCCTTCACTTGAACAACGTTTTGGCAACTCGCACACGTGCACAACCGAAGCACGACGGAAGGTACGGAGCATGTGCGGGAAGCCGGGCGTTCCAGAGGCACGCTCTGCCGTTCTCATGCTGTCACTGACCACAGGTACCGTCCAGAAAGTGAAAGGGCACCCACGGCGCGCCAAATCTCGGAGTTTTTCTTTTTTTTTTTTCCTAGGCAGCAACGTTTACAAAAAGAAAGCACTAACTCAATCCCTGATGACTGCTCAAGAAAGATGTTTATATTTTTTATTATTCGGCTGGCCTTACTTATGTGTCAGCGATTTCGTCACTGTCACTTCTACCGGAATTTTTGATTAGATGTTTTTTGTTTTTTTTTTGTGGGAGCGAATTCATCATTCGCAAATACGAAGCAAAGACCATCAAAATGCCTTTATTTAAAAAAAGAAAAAAAAAAAAAAAAACCTTCGATACCCCCTATGCAACGCAGCTGTCGAAGTATCTTTGTCCGCACTAATTATGGCTGGCGGCAACACCGATATGAGATTGAGTCACCTCTCCACTTGCACTAATATTTCTTGCAGTTTTGTTTCTGCGAGAAAGTGTGCGTCCACCGTGCGAAAACATTCCCTCGAACCTCTCCGCAAAATGTGTCGGACCCATTTTGCTTCGATATCCCCGCGCGTACAATCTCACAACGAAATTCGCGCAGAGATGGCGGTCGTCCCTCCAATATCTGATAGCGAACGTGTTGCTCATTTTTTCCCCCTCAGATAGAGTCATCGCAAATAACCGTTCTTCAGAACTCTGGCGCCATTTTATTTCTTCTTCGCCGCATTTGCCTACAGCCCTTGAACGCCAGCGTATACGGGCGCGAACGCTCCACGCGTTCGCGCCTGTATTGTCCACAGCTGTACGACTAGTTTTCTCTAGTACAACTCGATAGCCAGAAAGTTTTAGAAGATAGTACACCGGATATCACCGCATGAGCCTGCACAGTTTGACACAATCCGTTGAAGGTGCATGCTCCGTTAGTGTAGGGAGTAGCCCTGTTAGCTGCACGTGCGTGAATACTTTATCCTAGTAATCTACACCCTAGACATTGTGCAGGCAAACTTTCGGAACCCCACCGTGCTCCTGTTTGTCTTTTGGCTTAATAAGAGATCTTTATGTGCCGAGGCTCATAACGTGTCGCCGAACATGTAAATGCGCGTTGTTCGAGGCGCTAGGATTGCGACTTACAGATATAATGCGCCGAGGAACTGAGAGATGAGAGAAGACGAGAGCAAAACGGTCGGCGTCTGGCATTTCGCTTCCGTATTCGACCGCGTTCGGCAGGTGCGGTGGAGGCAAAGGCAGCTATAGCTTCAGGCGTACCCCCTAATCTGACCAATCGGAGCTCGACGTTCTGACGTGTCCTCGTCTGCCCCAGTTTTTCGACGTACAGAAGCAAAACAGACGTTGAACAACATTGGGGACACGCCGCTTATGCTGCAATTGCGTCATTTCATCGTTGGTTATCGGTATCGCCGAGTGCATCTGTCCTCGGTACGCCAATTTCTCGTAGGAAAGAACGGTGCAACGTCCACATTATTAAACAATGTAATTATCCGACGGAACAAGAAGCGCGTTGATGGCGACGCCGTATCCTGCTATTCCGATTACACTATCCCCAGTAGGTAGGCATACGGTTACGTTTCAGATATCTCCCAACCCACGCAACGACGACGTGTATGCACTGACTTTCGGGCGACACGACCTTCAATGTTATGCACACTTACGAAGCGCTCGCTCCACTTCGTGCCGATACGCGGAGTCGATTCGTTTAGCCTCTGCGTATAACGTCCGAAACAGTCAATGTTCCGGTGAAACTGATCGAACCTGACGCCATTTGGGAATGATCCGTGCGTGTGTGCGCAGTATTTGAGTACTTTGAAGAGCCCACGTGACGGAAAAAAACACGGCTCAGTCGAAAGCAGGGTGTAAGATAGACAGGTGGGGAAACGAGAGCCAAATGAGCGACCGGATTGTGTCCCTCTCGGTTTTCTCTTTGTCTGTGGCGCCATCTTTGTGGAGCACCGCGAACTCTCACTCCGGGTGGGCGACCGGTGGCGACCGGCTAAACTGACGGAGATGGTTTCTCGCTGATTTTCAACGAAGGACTGCCGTGCTCTCGGTTTATTTTCCGCACTCTCCCATAGAGTTCCATGCAAATCCGATTCCGATTTTTTTTCCTCTCGCCGCAGCGCCATCTGTCGCAAATCGGGGGTACCCGCAAGCAGACGAGTACACAATCCGGTCACGGCGCTGCGGTAGGCTTCTATGGGCCGTTTCCCCACCTGTCTATCTTACACCCTGGTCGAGTGAAACTCCTTCCGCAGCAATAGTTTATTCGCGTCTACTGACAATCGTCTATCGGGTGTCCTTATTGTGCACATTGTGGCCAGACTAACGAAACTGGAGCCTGTATAGAATTTCAAAGAAACGCCCGTCGTCTCGACGGTGGGTCACTTGGAAAGTGACTTTCAGTGTATGCAGCTGCTGCAGTCACGTGACATTTCGTCGCGCCGGCCATTTTTTTTTTCACTGCAAGCGATCGTTAACTTCCTGCTGCTTATAGATTTTGTTTTTGCATTTGTGGTTTATTTTGTGATACAATTAGAAAACAAAGCGATGATGTGGTATTTTCACGAAAAAATGAACGTGCAGTACTTGGTGCTGAAACGGCTATCACGCAGTTTTTGACGCCTGCGAGAATAGCTATGAGAAGCTGTTTGTGTGATATTCCACAGTAGCTATGTATTTTTATTAGTTACAAAAACGATTTTTTTTTTAAGAGAAACAAATATATTGCGAATTGCTGTAAGGAAAATACGCGCTTGTTGTGCCGTTTGGTGGATGTGCTGATTGAAAATAAGAAGGAACTTCGTTCTATTCGACATACGTTTAAGCTGTCGCAGACAGCGAGACGCAAGCGAAGAAGCAGCGCAGGCCCGAATGCATAGATTTTCATCGAGCGCTGACTCGGACAATCCGAACGAGACTTGTAGAAGAAGAAAAGAGAATCGATATATCGTGGCTGTACATAAATAAAGACTTCCCCGTTCTACAAAATATATTTCCGTCCAATAAAAAAAAAAAAAAAAAAAACACGTCCAACTGGGCACGGAACTTGTGTGTGTGTGTGTTTTTGTCTTTATTCGTCCATTCTGTTTAACTCAAAAACTTTGCTCTTCCGTAGTCACCGACAGAGCTAGAAGGGCAGGGCGCCTCTTTCGGATTCGGCAGGGCTTCCAGCATGGGCTCGTTGTTGCCATCCACCGTGGTTTGACTCGAGGTCCCCGAGACATCAAAATGTAGTAGAAGATCCGAAGCTCGCGCGACAGGCCGGACAACTGCAACTCGTCCCTGTCGTTCTGACCCTCTGTGTGACTATGGTCCAACACATACTTCTCGTCCACGTGTGAAATGCTCCCCGCAAGCGACATTTATATATATCTAAAGATCGGACGTCCCGCATCTGGTCATAAAAGAACCCGTTTGTGAAAGAGCACCGCTTCGATTGTGGCCAAAATAAAACTGAACTGTCATGGCGATGAAATGGTCATGATAGAACACCAGTGCTTGGGAAGAGTGCTTGAGACGCCCCCCAAAACTGCCTGGTTTTATGTAGGCGAGCAAGGATGCGCATTTGTTTGGAAAGTGGGACTTCGGTTTTCTGCCCCTGAAAAGGATACTCTGCCTCATATATCCTGTTACGACGGAGAAGCGCCCTTTCAGTGTCAAAAACTGCTTTTTTACTTATTTATATTTTAATATTTTGCACATTTATTTGGGCTGACATTACATGTCACAGGATGATATACAAACATATAACAGTGGAATAACAGGCCAAAAATGAACATGGGGACGAGCCGGTGGCTGGAGGTGTACTGCTTGAAATTCGGGAAATTCGACAACAATCTAAAAGCAAGCAATGCACTCTATCGAAAAGAGCCCTTTTTGTTGGTGCGTTTTTGTATTGTGGTTATTGTTTTGTATTCTCTTCACTCGACGAATACGCCATCAGTTTCCGTCTCAACCAGTTTGACCACTGAACAAAACAAAACAAAAAATGATTTTGCTGAGAATTTGAGCTCACACTATCAGAATCAAGACCGTGTACGCGATAAATTTTAAGAATAAAATGTCAGTTCTTATTTTTTTAATAATTGAACCGCTTGGTCAGACAGTGACTCTTCAGCGTAGCTTAGGCTGCTATTTAAAATCATTAATTGCCGTCTCGCGTTGATGAGTCGGAGCTTGCACTGCTGAGACGCAATGCAGAGAGCAAGTCGAAGGGTGTTGCAATAATGTCAGAATGCCGTGCTCTTCTTGCCTGATTGAAAAAATAGTGGGTGCACCCCGAGGCATCTATAGCATTGGGGTCTACCCACTATCCTTCCAATCAAAGCCAATCAGAACTCAGCATTGTTGTGATGTCACCGCAAACCCCGGCTAATGTTATTAGATTAGCTCAGTTACGAACCTGCTCATAGACGCTGCATGCACAAGCAGTTCCCCTTCTCACTCACCACGACTTGCCTCCCGCCGTTTGACGCGCCGGACGGATGTTTTGGTAACTGCAGTGCATTCTATGGGACGCGTATGTTTCGAAGCGCAGCGTCTAGATGGCGCTCTTTTGCTACTCTATGAAACACACAGTTCGTAAACGAAAATATAGATGGCGCTTCGAACGACGGGAGGCGGACTGAAGTGAGTAAGGGGGGTGCCCCCTTCCGCGGGAGTTCCACAACTGAGGTAATCTAGAGAGGTTGACTCCTGCCCAAGATGCAGACAACTTTCTCGCCGTATACTTCGTTCCAGCATACGTCAAGACGCAGACGACGCTACAAGGTAATGGGACCAATCAAGCAGCGTCAAAAACGCAAGTCACTAAATATTTTCTGCTTACGATTGATTCAGCGATAATGGAACACGTACAGAAATATCGCGAATACAATGAGTGTGAGTTTCTGGTGCTGTCTGATTGGTAGGGGTAAATACGAAAGCAGAACGCAGTAAATTACGAACGCAGACATCGGCAATTCCAAATAAAAAATATAAAGAAAACGTAGAAAAGATGCAGACGAAATGTTAGGCGTGTTCGTTTCGCCGCAACAAGCTGAAGTTGTTCGAGTACTTGTCGACTTTCTGTATTTTTATATAATTC